GTTCTTGTTTGTGTTGATTTTTTTATAATATTTGTAATAATTATTTCTTCCATTGCCATTCTGGTGAATATTTAATTTTATACTGATCAATGTTTAGTGAAAGCTGCTATAATTACATCTATTGGCTGTGCTACCCATCTAAGTCCACCTTGAGTCTATCATTTCCAATTTCTGATTTTTTTGCTTTCGTTGTTAATTCTCATTTTCCTTAATTGTTGATTATTTATTTATTTATGTATATTATGATCTTTATTTATATATTATGCATATTTTTCATGTATTTATTTTCCCTTTTTTTTTCTATTTTCTGGGTACCAGCAGCTCTTGCATGCTGGTAGCCCTTCAGAATGCTTCCTCTGCTCTATGTCAAACTACTTACTCTATTTTGTTTTATGTATCTTGTAAAATTATAACTAAATTAAATAGTAGTCTTGACATGAGTCCTTGTTCAAGAAGCAGTGAGAGTATCATCTTCCTTGTAATCTTGTCCTGTCTTGTTCCTGTTGTCAAGTTCATGATCATATAGTTTAACATTATTATTGTTTGTAATTTTTTTAAATACAACTTATTAATTATTTATTTTCATAAAACAATGATATCCATTATTAAATAACTTATGATATGTTAGCTGGAACTGGAAGCCTTGAACCTCCACTAAGTATTGCAGTTGATCCAAGCATAGCTAGGTTAAAAAAATGCTTGCTTTTCCCAGTTCTGAGATCTGAGCATGCGCGACCACACCCAAATTTTGGAGCACACTTTTCTTTAATTTAATTTTAATTTAATTAACAAAATGGCGGAATGAGGTAAGTTTTAACCGATCCTACAGTCATTGTGTCACTTCTTCCTTTCTTGGAGAATGATCTAATGGGACATGGACCTGCGCATAGACTGTTGGAGTAGAATGGTGTAATAATTAGCCTTCTAGCACCAGCCAATATTGAGATACACACCGACAACTGGATTGACAGGAGATGATGATGATGAAGACGACTGAACAAAACGGCCGTTTTGCCGATTTTTGACTTTCCTTTTAGACAGGGTCTAGAGCCACGCTAGTAGTACCAATGGAGTCCTCTGGTCAAGATAAGGTCCTCTAAGAAGTCTGGTAAACATAGGAGCTCGTTTTCCCGGTATAGCAAGGCTTCAAAAGTCGTGGCAGCCATAATGTTTTGGGGTGAATCCTACTTAGTAACGCTACTGCGTTACTAATAGTGCAGTGTCTTGGGCCAAATTTTGCCAAAATTAAAAAGTAAAAAATTTTCAATTTTTATTACATTTTCTGATGCATATACATGTACTTATGTTGCGTAGAAAGTTTGAGCTGATTCCAATAAAAATTGATTTTTTATGAATTTTTATAGTTGCTTCATGTACTGTACATTGTCATTGACTGTAGCTTTACATGAATTATGGTTCATTGTCTCATCTTTGTCCATAATTATATACACATTTAACAAGACATAATTTCACGTGTTATGCTTTCCTACAGATAATTTGAAAGGTCTGAGTGAGTCCCAAATAGCAGGGAAGAATTTGTTCTTAGTTCAAGGAGACAAACCTCAACTGATGAACTGGGAGGAGTATGGACTGAGGATTAGTGTACCAGAGGATAGTCTATCAGCATCAGAGACTGTAGAAGTATCAGTACTAGCTCTTGTAGGAGGACACTTCAAGTAGATATACTGTATACATGTAGTAATGTCTGTATAGTTAGTGGGGAATTATTGTCAGGGAAAACAATTGATAATTTGTCTATAATTTAGCGGATCTTTAATTTCACTGTTTCATGCTAACCCAAAAAAATATCAAAAGTTTCTCTCCTTGAAAATAAAGCGCTAATACGGTATTACAAAATTATTTATGCCAAATTTGAATTTTTGATGCTTAAAATAACAAAACTTTTACCAAAAAAAATTACTCATTATGCGATATGTATATGTACATGTATTTTAATTATTAATTCCTTTATAGGTTTCCTGATAATACTAGACTAGTCAGTGCAGTGTATGCAATATCAACCAGTCCACTCCTCAAGTCATTGAGGATAGAAATGCAACACTGTATTGATCTCAGTGATCCTTCTTTATCCAAGTATCTTAAATTTGCTTTTGCTCCAGTTCACACAGCTAGTCTTCCTTACCAGTTCTCACTAATTGAAGGAGGGGAGTTTCCAGCATACCAGAGATATGGATGGATTGAACGAAGCAAGTTCTGTCAATTAGCTATTGTTGGGGAGGAAGAAGAAGAAAATGGAGAAGGTAGGAATGAGGAGAGGAATGGAGAGGAAGATGAAGACTCAGGAGATGAGGGAGGGAATGGAAATGAACAGACAACAGGAGGAGAGGGACAAGGAACAGGAGGACAAGAAGGAGGAGCAGGAGGAGTAGCTGGAGGGAACGAAGAGATGAGAATGGGTGATGAGAATGGATCAATTGCTTTTGAATCATGTGATCAACCAAACACTTCATCGTCACTTAGTAAGTACATGTATATATTTTTTATTATAATGACTATACATGTACCTGTCATTCATCATACAGTTGTATCTACTCATTCCACTGGTATACCTGAGGCTACAGTGTATGCTGGACAAGTGTTTTATGAACGACCAGATTTAATGAGATTCACTGCTGCTAGAGATTTGAATGCCTTACGTCAGGTAACATGTTAAAGTTTTTAAATTCATTGTTAATTTTGTTATTTGGATGCAGTATATAAAGCAGACATATGTCATTCATGAAATGGACGAAGATTTTACATTCCAGCTTTATCCTTATCTGAAATATGCTTGTATTCAGTTAATTTTTGATGGTCCTCAATTGAAACCAACAACTGGCTGGTCTGTTAGTCCTCATAAGAATCCTTGTCTGGTACGTCAATAATGCTGTGTCCATTATTACTTTTATTATTATAATAGATTAGGGAACGGAACATACTTGGTTTTGGTGACATTAGTACTACAATTCCTCCATCTTGCCTGGTATCAATATATGCTGAGAATAGTCCCCATACTGTACCTAGCTTGAGTTATTCTGTACCATTGAAAGGTGTACAGGAACAAATGAATATTATTATTAACAGATCACTGAGAAATATGATTATGACATCATTAGGTAACATATGATAGTTATATACAGAATAACGTATTGTTTTATATCTCTTAAATAGATCCTATAATTAGCAACAGATCTCCTCCTGCAGCTCCTCCTCCTCCTTCAAACAGTTAGTTAGTAATAGGGTAACTAATTATTATAGTAACACATTAATAGGTACATTTAGAGGGGATATTGCTCACAAAGCAATAACTGAGTGTACTGGAATGATAAAGGACTATGGGATTGATCTTCACTTCTTAGTTGATAAGTTACTGGAACATAAAATTATAAGTGAAAGAAAGAAATAACCGATGGATACACCAGACAAACTGCTGGTGAAAGAATGGATGAACTGCTACACATCATTTCAAGTACGGTTAAAAGAAGAGGAGTGTTTTGTATATTTTTAGAAATACTGAGAGAAGAAGATACTATAAGTACTGTTGCACTAGCTGAGGACTTGATGGAAAAATATGTTTCTCTTTCAAGAGACTTATAAAAATTTTAACTTTGATTTTTATATTATTTTCACCATACTGGTAATTTTTTTTGGATGAGTCATGAGTGACATAATTTTAGTAATTATAATTATCA